AACGCCTCGGACTGGAACTAATTGCGCGGACTTGAAACCCCGTCCAGTCCTCATTGTCGGACTTTAAACATTACGTAAACTAGTGTGAGCTGCGTCCGTGTTTCTAAAGAAACAGTTATGTAAAAAATTTAACACCGTATGTTATTTCACATACTTTTTTTACGGTGTTAAATTTATCTTTTTACACAACTATCTCGCCTAGTTTTGAATGCTTTGATCAACAACATTCTGAAAAATTACATTAGTTTCTACAATAGGGAAGATCATAGTTGCCCTTTGGGCATTCCACAGTTCCATGAAACCTGGTTTTCTCTAGAGCACACGCACAAACGCAGTCACAAATGTTTAGCTTTCTTGGGCTTTATACTTATGTTGTTAAATTTCTAAGCTAGGAATTGTTTATGGTTGTGCTTATGCTAAGACGCTGGTGGAGCCCAGGTTTGAGATCACTTTAAAACGGTAAATTGTCGGGCGGTACAAAACATTGACAAAACGCAGGGCGGAGCGAACAGCTTATAGCGATCGATTAGTTGTTTGTTTTAAATACTTAATTTATTGATAGATTAGTTAATTACCCGATCGATCGACATCTATTTGATGTAAATTGTTATCAATTGCCGTATCTAACACTTCGTTTACTGAATATTTGAATTATTCATTAACTAATTTACTAGCAAATTTGATTATCTGAGTAACAAATTGATACAGATTGTTCAAATAGATCGTTTTTCTGTCTTACATGCAATTTCGATTATTGTGTTGACTGCGAGATTGAGCAAAGCGGATCAACATTAACTTTGCCTTCATCTTGGCACTGAGTTATCGATTTTTTTCAATCATAGATTTAGTTGCATTAAGTAATGGTCCGAGTAAGAAGCAGGCAAGCAAACGGCAATGGARTGCATGAAGGTGCTAATTGTGTATTGTATAATCCATCCATCTCATTGGTTAAAACATTAAAATTTGACATAATTTCAAAAGTAATCGCATTTTTTAATATTTTATTTAATATCTGATTCTAACTTTATAAAAGCTTTCCTTAGCTTTAATATTAATAGGAATTCTATGTGGGGAACATAGCAAATTAGAAGCATCTTTTGGCTATTGTTTTGAGTGCTTATGATTGGACAAGATCTTTTAATACAAAAGAAACTTTGTTTCAAAATAGAGTTTATCCACATTTTATTTTAAAAATGTGTTACGCATAGGTTGATATATAATCAGTGTGAAAACCAAGACATTATTCGTATGTGGGGAAGTTGCAATTGCCGCAGAACAAGTAAGAGTAACTAACAAACTTAGTTTTCAATTCACGTGGTTTTCGCAAAAACTGAATAGACTTAATGAATGTTTTCTTAGTTGGGTTTCGAACAATAGAATCCTCTTCTCTTGAGACTTTTTCATGGACTGTTGAAATTAGTTTCCTTTAAGAAAACCTGTTCATGCGAAAGCGAGCAATCGAAATTTGAATATTGTTATCAAATATTCTTAGCAGTCATTCTGGAAACGATGTCGAACAGTGACGATTTGTTTATAGCTCAAAATACGTTTGACATCATTCCTTTGACGAACTTTGATATTGACGATTTGCTATCGGATTTGGAACTCCGCATGCTTCTTCCCGCAAATAACGATGACAAAGTCTGCAGATGGGAAAAAATGAGAAAAATTACAATAGTTTTTGATGTTGAACTCGCTCGAAAAAATACGAGGGAAGGATTCAAGAAG